TATGTAGTTTATATCGATTTTTCAATTTATTTTGTTTTTGAAATAATAAATTTCTCTTTTTTATGCTCCATACCTGTAAGCCAACTTAACTTAATTTTTATTGATACCATAAATATTTTATTGAAGGCTAACTTTGAAAAGTTAAATAAAGCGTTTATTTAAATCTACAAGAATTTAATCAACTGTGATCATGTAATGATTTCAATAAGGCATAAATATTACATTTAAGCACTCAAAAAAATTTTATTCTACTCCATTTGTATCGTTGTGATCCTTTCAAATGATGATGAAAGTGATGAAACATTTCGATTCATGGATTATATATAAAGACGTAAAATTCACATTGTTTTTCTGCTTCATTTACACGATTCAAAAGAATAAAATATTTCCGAAAACTTTGATACCTTTCTTTACATTATTTACGATAATTTGCAAGTAATCATGATGCCTTCTATTAAAGGCGATGCGGAAGGTATATTTTTCTAATATATTTCTTTTGTAAAGAAGGAATGAAGCTTTAACGATGATTTTGATTAAGAATTTGATTGATGATTAATCTTTTGCTGATGAATTACTAAGAGTAAATATAAAATTATTTATATAATCTAGAAAAAGTTTCATCTTCCTCTTTTTTGTCCCCAAAATCAATCAGCGCAGAGTACTCGTTCGATTTCTACTTCACTCGATAACAACGAAGTACAAGAACGAAAATCTGTCTCTTATACTTCTTTGAACGAGAACGACGACTACGACGTTGAAATGAGCGAGTTACGAAAAGATGCATACGACTATAGTGATAGTGACCATGATACTATTGTTGATGAGCAGGAACAAAAGGAGCAACAGGATGGAAAAGAAGAAATAAAAGTCATCAACAATAATAAGGAAAACTCAAATTTTCGTTGGAAGATTTCTGAAGCTCCGGAGAATATTTTACAAGCGATTCGACAAAATTCATCTTCTTTCTTCTCTTCTTCATCATCATTAACTTCAAATATGAAAAGACAAAAGCCACCTCGTAAAAATCCACATCCCATTCGATCACCATCAAAAGAGGATTTCTCCAATTCTAGCATCAATTTCACATGCCAGGTCTATAATATATATATGCAAAATCCACGTCTACTCTTGGATTCTAAGACTGTTCGTAGTCACCCAAGACCAAAACATGAAAATTCAGTCATTGGTTCGATCGACAAGACTAAACCACCACCTCCACTACAAAAATCAGTTTCACAATTATTACATGAGATTGAATCTTTGGAATATAATCAAGAACCTCTCGACCATGTCAAACGGCCAAAGATTACTTGGAAGGGGATGCCGCACGATATAAGGAATGAATCTTATTTCGAAGTGCTGCATCATGTCGAGGCTCAAGTCGTGTCAACTTTACGCATGACACCAATTCAATATCTGAATACAAAATTAGCTATTTTATCAGCTGCAAGAGAATTTGAAGATCGAGGATTGCCGTTTCGTAAAGTTGACGCGCAGCGCGCTGTCAGAATTGATGTTAATAAGGCGTGCAAGTTGTGGGAATTTTTTCATGATGTTGGATGGTTTTGAATTTGTGGATTGAATAAAAGTGTTGCGTATTATATATGGCTTAATACTCTATTGAGAATTATGTCTATTAGATTTATCAGTGTTTGCCATTCACATAGATACTCACATTCATTATCTATCTTTTCCTTTTTGAAATTAAAAGCGTCTGAATATATAGTAGCACAAGAAATGGAACACTCGATAAAAATTAATCCAAACAAAA